CAAGTGTATTACTAGACGGTCTATGTTTTATGACGTTATTTGACCGGCAAGAAACTAATTAATCTACTTTAGAATGCTTCTAATGAATCATTTATTCAAACATGCTTGATTAACAAATTTCGTTAATATATACTCTAGTCTTTCGTATCAACATCGTTGATTGTGTTATGGATGCTGAGGAATAATGCGCCAATCATTAGCATGTTAAGTCTAATGATGTCCTTGGACGTTAAATGAACATTCCCTATTGGCCGTTATTTATTTCACTCGTTAAATATTGTGTAAATGTTGTTTTCTATTTTATGGTACGATGTGGTTTGTTCGTTTGGTATATAAATAGAGTATGGCGGAAATATAATGATTCATAACTCAGAGGCTGTGACTTGCGTTCTAGACTCAACTGGCTGGACTAGACAGGGAAGCGGGACCAATCGGGACTCTAAGTCGTTCATTACGTGTTTACGTGTCACTGTAATCGGTCCATATAAACGCTGCTTATCAAAACCTGCAGTCCACCCGTTACAACAGATTGTTAGACTTTTCGCTTGCAATAATGATGTACTGGTTCACTAAGTTAACCGTTTAAGTGAAATCTAATTTCTTTTTTGTTATGCTTCTCAATAAGACTAAAGAACTAATTTTAAGAGTAATGAAATTTCATCATAAAATGCGAGGACATTGAAATGCTGATTCCTGGACATTTGCAACGTTTCGGTGAATAAATAATGAAAACAATGTATCACAAAAAAGTCCCAGTCTAATATAAGATGAGTGAACTAAGCACTATGTTTTGTTTGAGTTTTCTCATCTTCGTAATTTGTAGCAGATCATAAAACTGTTTGAAACTAACTTAAAGATTCAGTGATAAAAAAAAGCTTAACGGCGTTTCCTACGATTAATGGAAATACTATTGCAATTGCTACTGATAAACTTAATAACTTCAGGAAGTGAGTTTTACAACGTACTCTAATTTAAAAAAAAGTATTTTATAAACACTGGGTCTCCATAGAACTGATTAATGAACGTTCAATCTGGAAACGATATAATTGGAGTATGTAGTTTCTTGCAGTGACATATATAAAGTTACTTCCAGATATATGAGACATTTACGGAAGTTAAAGTCATTCAACTGAAGCTTTATTTAAGTGAATGAATCCTAAAGATTTGATTAAACACTTCAGTTAGTAAGTTGATAAAATTATTAAAATTCTTAAAATCCCAGACTTATTTGTTTTAAATTGTTAAGGGATCTGTTACAATATTTATCGTTTTAACATTTAAAAAACAGATTAACTATTAATGTGGATAATTTATTTTATCGTAAAGATTTTACCAAAAAATAAGAATATGGAGGATGAATAAATTAATATTTAAGTAAATTTATCATGCAAAAATGTTTATTTCTAAAACTAAAGTACTCTAGAAGAGCTAATTACTTATATTTACCAAGATTGATTGGAATATTACTCATTAAGTTATTGTCCATAAATATTTAAATCATTGAAATACAGTGTGTAGATATGAAAAATAACAAACTAACCATTCATATTATCTTCACTTTAAAGTTGATTTACTTCAAAGGAGATAAGGTCAAAAATAGTAGATGTATGAATGGTTGAAAATGAAATGAAAATGCCATGTGACTTCAAATAGTTTCAGATTACTTAAAAAAGATGATTTACAATTCGTACTGATTAATAAGTTTTTACCTGTTTATAAAATAGCCGAAATTATATTCACTTTAAGAATGAATAAGAAATTAAAAAGTACTGTACTAAGCAATATATCATACAGAGATGAAAATGCTCTAGTGTTTAACTAAAAATTGCACAACATTTTGGACGTACGTCATGTAACTGTCATCGTCACACGATTAAAAATGTAGTAATGGCCCATCTGAAGTAGATAAATACTATTTATTTTCTTTTGTTTAAACAAAGCGCACATATGTCGTTCACGTTCTAATGTTGTAATAATTCAAATGATTTCTTAAAGTATTGTAAATGAATAAAGAAACATGATCTTTAAAATTCTACGTTTATTGACAACTAAGTTAATATGATCAACTGTCTACTTATGTTTTACTTCATCATCTTATTATTTTACGTAAAAATGTTAATTTATGTATCTATGTAAATAAACCATTTATAAAGATCACCGTTAAGTATTCTCCTCATTTAATTTTTTTCGAAATTTTGGAGGCTGTTTCCAAACGTGTGTACGATCACGTGTCATTGATAATACTGCTGATGGGTATATATGTCATTCAGATAGTGGATACTCACTCTTTGATAGGTAGAGACTCTGCATGAATACATGTCTCACAGATGCATGGCCGGAAGGATCTTAATGAGAATACTGCGCAGCAGTAATATTAACCACAGAAACAATTTGATAATGATACGTTCAGTCATAACATTTGATCGAATTAAGTATGTAATGATTCAGAAGCTGTGAAGATTATTATCGCAACTGGTCTTAAAGGCAACTAAATATTAAAATGTTAAGCAGAACAACCTGTGAGTAACATTCCATAACCGTCCATTTGATATTGATAGAATAACATGTTGAATGTATATCGTGAATGATATTCTGATCATTAAAAAGTTATCCCACATGAGTATTGAATAAACTATATGGTTAATAACAATTTATAATTTATCGAGCTTTATGTTAGATACCGCTACAAAAAATTTGTAAATAGCACTTATTACTGACCATCTTTAAGTTTTGTTCACTGAATGACAATCATATTTACGAATTTATTTATTTGCACAGTTCACTGAGTGTTTTAAATAATCCATAGAAATAAAAATTTCACTAATAATTTTAAAAACACAGACGCAAAGATCTTCGTCAACGATGAAGCTGTACTCAAGTTAAAAACATACATTACAAAATTAATTGAACAACGAGTCCATAAAATAGTCAGTAAAATGAACTAATGATTTTAACTTGTTCACTGAAATATGTGGATAGTAATTTTACAGATTTAAGATGGCTCAAATAAGAATTCAATGTAATTAATGAGGTGATTAACTTTTTGTCGATGAAAATAGCTTTTTTCTGATAATTCATGAATACTCTAAGAAATCACTATCACTATGGTTATTTACAGTTAGATTAATAAATGACATTTTTGCCATCGAGATATGAAGAAAATCAATGGTTTGTCACAACATTTCAATTCACAGACCAGCATCACCGAGAGAAAGTATTGTTGAGATCTTAGTTTTCAATCTAAATCTTTTGATATATTTTGACAATTAATTTTATACTTGTTTTAGTTATAAAAACAAAGAAAGTATTGATTACTGAAAAGGGTGTATGAATTTTACGTCGATTTGATCTTTTATACATGTGTCTTAAATCTTGACAAGGATATCAAGTTGTGATCCGATTTTGGTGATCATATCAACCAAATGTTTCCGTATAATTCTACATTAAATTTTGATAGTAGGTGGTTTTCAGTAGTAAAGGGACTGCTATACTTTATCTTAGGTATATTTGGTACAGTTTGTTATAATTTATAGACAGATTATGGTTGAGAGTATGATAACAGATAGAACCACTGGAGAATATAATACTATTAAATAGAACGTAGACTAAGACAAACTGTTTAAATATGAAGTACCACAAATACACTATAAATGGTAAAGTTCTTTTTAAAAGTTGCTTGTTTATTTATCGGAGAAACCATTCTTTCCAAGGCAAATTTTCATCACTGCACATCCTTAACACCTGTTGAAATGGTTTCTGTAGGTTAAAGGTCTTTTATGAGTGTGTTTACAAAACTTATGCTGTATGAGTGATTGAAATGCTGAGGTAAATTACTAACTAATACCTTCACCAGTGGATGCCAGTTCAAGATGTTCAAGATGTCAGAACGTATTTGTAAAGGTGGTAGCTTTGAAATTTGTTGTATAATATTGTATAATATTCATAATTCAACAACCGTCATAACTATTGTATAATGTGCTCACGAGATTGTACAGCTTATGCTTCTAATACAGCTATTGTCGTTCTATAATTATTTGTTAACATTGATCGTCGCCAGGTTAACAGGTAAAAATAATTTCTGGTTCCTATAATGTTTCCTAATAGTAGTTAGAAATTCATTACTTAATTATTAGAGAAATAATTGACAACAAATGAATGGTTGCTATATCAATTTTGTAATGTTTTGTATCGTAATTTAGTTAGTCGTTAGCAACGTAAAAATGGTACAGTGGTGCATTGCCCGAATTTGTTGTGTTTTTATAAATCCATCGATTTGGAATTATCAGGATGATGGACTAATTGGTTGCATTATCGATAATATTAGAAATGATTAGGAATAAATTAGGAAAAAATAAAAAGTATCAAATGATTTTCAAACTCGGGATATAGGAAAAAATAAAAACTGAATACATCTACCTGGTTGGTGCTGCTTCTGAACTATCTTACATAACTCCTCAATCTAACAATTACGGTTTTTTATTCAATATTTATTACAAAGCTAATTATTATTTGCATTGAATTTTATCATTTTCAGATGAAGAAAATGTGATTATGATTGTTATAGTTAAAAGTAACTCAAACTTTGTTATGAAAATTTAGTGAATGTAATTAAGATTTAACAAGGTTAGCGTCAAATAAAAATAATTTTACCCGATTTATCACGGTTTTTGTTTTCAAATATTTTTGTGAATACCAAAATTAGATGATACTTAAATTCGAACAAGTAAATATTAATCTGTTAGTAGAACAGCTACAAACGCGAACAAAAGCGTAAATAAACACTAGTTTTTGAGTAACTTACAGTACTTCTGTCATAGCTCATTCAATGTTGGAACATTTAGATTAGTGCTCATATAAAAACTAAAGTTATAGTAGTTAGTTCTACCATAAACAACAAGTAGACATGAAGTCATTTTTTCTTTTCATTTTTCAAAAGTAGTTGCAAGTAACATAATTTACAACAAAACAGCAATCATAACAACAAAGCATAAAATGTTTACCTCTTTTTTGAAAATCATTAACCAGTCCAAATGTGAAAACCATTTATGAGATTTAATATCTTGAACACCATTTCTCAAATTACCAAATCGTCGTGTTAAATCAGATTGAATCAAATTACGCAAAAGATCTTTCAAATCTGAACTGAAGTGAGAAGGAAATTTATACTGAAAGTAAAATAAGAATGAATAATAAGTACGTTTTAATGACAAGAATGATTGATATGTGCTTTTAATTCTTAATGTGAATGGTGATAACCATCGTAAATTTTTAAAGGTCAATCAATATATTCTAAAATTCTTTTGAATTTATTTACAATTACAATAAGGATTAATAGAGTATTCAAAGCAACGACTAGGAGAGTGACCAACTGGTTATAAATCTAGTTCACACGATTTTGTGTATGATTAAGTGAAGTATACGAACTATTAAAAAAAAGCCATTTTGTAAAGAGATTTGGTTTTTAAAATAACTAAGCAATTATGTACTGGTTCATACACTTACATCTGAACCAATGCTTAAACTTAAGTAATACTGAATCTAAAAGCTGATTAATATGAAGTAAAAGAAATAGAAGCAGAGCTCGTGATTAAGTGGCTGAAAGTTTATTTACTTTAACTAATGAATTACTACTCAACGTATTAAAAGATAAAGCTGTCAGAACAAAATTAATGGAAATACTTATTTCATTTTATTTTATAGCTTTTGTTAATTAACAAGTTTGTAATCTGCATGTTTCATGGGAAACGTTTATTAATAGTGCATAAACGTAAGAGTTTGGCATTTGAGAATTGGAATATTATATGAAACACTATATCCCCAAATTTATAAAACAAATATATTTATGTGTGCATATATGGATCAGCCATATACGTTTCACAAAGAATTATTATGTAGTTATTAACCTGCATACGAATCGAATTGTTAAATTTGAAACTGATGATACATGAGAAATTAAATTTAAAAAATTAGCTTTATGTTCAAGTTCAGAGATTGAAATGCTTGACACTTGGTTAATTTTTTGAAACAATTTATCAACTAGAATGTACAATAACTAAGCTAAGCTCCAGCTCACTATAATGTAGAATGCTTTATTAAAACAATAAATGTTAAAACTCTTTTGACTAAACAAATTCTTATTTCTATTAACCTGTGATTTAGCTGATAAGTCTTAATATTTTGTGTTGATGCAATTACTTGCCAAGCTCATCACGAATATTAACGAACCCATATTAACATCTAAATGGGTGAAGACATGTATCTTGTGTAGCTTTAGCATAACGCAAAATATGAAAATTCAGTTCGATAAATAAACAACATTGTAGACGGTTTGAGATAGCATATTGAATAAGATATATAAGTACATAAATAATGGTTTAACAAAATCAGACAGAGGAATGTTGATGAGATACTTGCATATCAGTAATTTTAGTGCAAAATGTTAATCTATATTATTAAAACTAATGCTGGCACATTCAAGACTCAGAGAAAATATCATAGGACCGATACTAAGTACACTATTCGTAATTTTTTTGACCAGATGACACTAAATATGTTAATCATTAGTGACTTTTATGATGAAAGCTTATTATAAAGCAGTCTTATTCAATAGTTTTATCACATCCACGCAATAACTGGTGAATAGTTTTTACCTAGCTGAAAACATTGAAAACATACATCAATAAATGTGATAAAGTCTGAAACACCTAATATAATTATTCCGTGCTTTAATTAAGGCCATCATTAAAAAAATATTGACCACATGGTGGCTGTTTTATAATGTCATAGGATGCCTCGCCATTGCATGGTTATTATATCATCACAGATGTACCTCAGGTTCGTTAGAGATAATGGAGAATAACAACAAGCCTTTATTGTTTTCGGAAGTGTTTTCTACATCAAATTGTTACTAAAGTTGTTCTTACCTTTCTGGACATTATGAAAAAGTGAAATTGTGTTACAGAGTATCATAGAATTTCGTTTTTTAACCACTACCTTTCAGATTACTTGTAGTCAATAATATATAAAATCTTGTTCTACTAATTTATGATACAGTTGTGAACATGAGATACTTTGAATCTGTACTGAATATTTAAATAAATATAATACACGCATTTATCTAAATAAATATTGATAAATCTATCCAAGTTATTTCACTAAATTCGTTAGTGAAACTTACTTATCAGGGACAGAACAGGAACAGACTATATTAACACACATATTTATCTAGTTTTCTTAAAAACTGTGAACCAACAATCGCTAACAAACTAAGACAATAAAGGGAGAATTAACGTAACTACATAAAAAAGACATCAAAAAACTGTCATAAATTTCAGCTCGTAATAAAGCTCAATTATTCTCACCCATTTCTGCTGAATTAAGTTCGGTTTTTAATTTTAAAAAATATTTATGGAAAAATTAATGGCTTAGCCACAGTAGAGAGTTATTTTGGTTATTTCGACAGGAATATATTGTTAAATCAATAAGATAGATCCAGAATAATAATCTATGGATCAAAGATTGTTTTCAAACATTAGTGAAGGTTTTTCATGGAATTCAGTGATATTCGAACTTTGAAAAGTGTTAAGTTTATATTTAATGAGATAACATATAATTTAATGAATTTTTCATATATTTGAAAATTTTGTACAATACTTTACTAAACATTTCACTTTTTTTCAAAGTATCAAAACCCTATAGTATCGATTTCAGTTCAATAAACATCCTTAACTGTCAGAGTTAATGGATTCCAGGTGAACTCTTAAAATCAAATGGAACTTTTTTGTATAATTCGTTTATTTTCATAATAAAACATGATTAATTGAATATCAGATTTCGTGTAATATGAGACATTCATTTTTATTTCTCAATATACACTTTTCTTTAGATTGCAAAAAAAACATTCTAAGAATAGGTCCATGTTTGGTACTTCAGTACCGAAAATAAAATTCACATATTTTATCGGAGAGCAAATAATATGAATTACTCTGTTTTGCTGCATTTTCTAAAAAAATGATATATGATTATCGTCGTTACAAAAATACAGGATTACTCGACGAATTAAAAAAAAATTTGGCACTTCAAAATATTCTGTAGTTAGGAAATTGCTTGTTCCCACTAGTTATCTGGATGACGTAACATGTTTTTGTAATTTTAAATAAAACCTTTCTGCATTCACACTAAACTTCGTTTACAGTAATTTGTAGGTAATACAACAAAATGAAAAAAATATTTCAGTTTTTTTTCTCTAAATAATTGAATAAAACACAAACATTGTTTCATTATATCCACATGTTCAATGAGAAGAAAGCTTTTTCATTTGATTAAAATCTCTCGCAAAGCTTTCAATGTGTTCTCTTCATTTAATTTTGCCAGTCTAAATACCGTGAGTTTTGAATGTCAGGAGACGTCGCTGTGCTACAAGTACTTTGTATTCAATTGACATCCATAACAAAGTTTATTTGCGGGCATGGTTAAATATTCTAAACATTAGATGTAAAAAATATGAACCATACATATAGCGAGCAAAAAGATAATTTATTTACAAAAAGGCTTTGGTTTAAACTATGGGGTTCAAATGAAAGTAAATTTTAAAAAGATTTTCATGTATTAGTGGTGTTTAGCGAAAATAATAAAAATTTTAATGCTACGCTTTAGAAATCTGAGATTGTTTCCTCAGTGAACTGTAAGTCATTTAATAACAAACTGAGTAGCAGGTAACCCACAATGTCTAGTTTCAATGCATTATATCAGATTTTGTGAATTAACAAGATTAAAACCAAGTTCATCCAAATTCTGTCGGAACAAAAAACCAGCTTCTACTTTAACCATTTCATAAAATTTCAAAATCCACATCGTCATTCAAAAAATATGCTAAGGAAACCATTAAATTTACAGCTAACGTACTCTTATATATACAAAGTGTTTTTAAATTTCACTTTTTAAAGAATATGAACAAAATCATTCGGATAAAAAACAATGAATATATATATCCTAAATGATTATTTAATTCTTAACCGGGTTTTTTCTGTGAAAAGCTTTATTTCTGATTTTTGTATATTCTAAATATCTTATGAGTTAAATTGGTAAAATCACACGACATTTTAACTGGTTTATTAATTTAATTATATATCTTTCATAGAAATGAGGCATCGTAGTGCTATCTGTTGCACTAGTAAATTAAAACAACCAAACTATTTTTTAATTTCGTTAAAAACTAATTAAAACATATAACATTAAATCTCTTAAATGAACTTTTCCTGTGTGAATGAATTTTATGAATTTGAGAATAATTCATGAAGGGATTTACTGAGCATCACATTTTATTCACATAGGTTTAAGGGAAGTAATGGAGAAAATCGTTGTCAGATATAACAGAAATCAAACTTTTGTACTAAGGGATGCTTTATTACATATATGTTGCATAATAACCAAATAAAAAACGTAGGTCAACAACTGAAGTAATAATGTTTGCTTAATATTTCTTCATGGTTTTTCTATTTTCCTTTAGTGATTTTCTGACAAGTAAATAATTTATCTATTGAAAGCACTAAATTTCCACTTGTTGGCAGATACACTTTGATACATGGTTACTTGACAATTGAAATATTAGTTCAAATAATGTGAAAGTTACCTATGTTAAGTTAGAAGTGGAAACCAAATAATGAATAACTTTAGATATTCTAGCCATATACATTTTGTGGTTAGTTGCAGTTTACGTATTTTTAACTTATTCCACTTAAATGTATTAGGCAAGGAATCACTTTCATTTTCTTCGTTCATGAAAAACCCATCGGTATGTGTTATACGCTTGACTGGTAAATATTTTGTCTGCCGAATAGTTAATATGTTGTTGCAGAAACAAACAAATGTATGTAATAAGCGTCTTCGTAATCAATTGTATTTTAGTTATGAGGATATAAAACATGAATTTAGTGACTTATTTAGAATAATCGTATAAGTTTATTATTTGATCACGCGAAAATTCAAAAAATCTAAACCTTCAATTATGTAGTAGAAGTCAAAAATAAACGAAACCAAATGACCATTAAAGTTTCATTTATTATGCTGATTTCGTTGCTCTATTTGATTACCTGGTAAAACCGCGCAAAATATATCAAATAAAATAGTGAACATCACAGTATAGTCCAGTTCGGTAGGAGACATACAATTCCTGTTATGTAGCTATGAGGCTGTTTTGTAATAAAAGCCTATGAAAAATAACTCTAAAGACAGTTTCACATAAAACCCAGTATATCTGACAAATTTACATAAATCTATGCCTAATTTACATATTAATCAAAGGATTTTACACCTAACTGTTAGATAGCTGTAAGCAAATGGGTCAGAAGCTACGAATTTAAATTTTGTGATATTCAGTCCTTGTGAACAATTAGGTGCTTTAGTTATTGACGAAATGTAGTTAGCAGATACTTCTTCTGCAAAAGAAGGTTTGGAGTTGTGAATACAAACAGCAAATTGATTAAGTACTCTGATTGTAGCTTGGGAGGTTTGAGACAAATACTGGAAAATCGAGTTATAGCATAAGTTATTGAATAGAGAAAAGCTGTAATTACTTGATGTAATATGAATAACTTTTAACTAAAACTAATTTAAATAAAGTGTCATTAGTTTGTTTTAAACTCAGGCCAAGAATAGCTTATGAACATGAAATAATTTACTTAAAGTCACATTAGTTACATTCATTGACACATGAAATAGTTTGTTTTTCATAAATCGATGTAATGGTACAAAACCTGTTAGAACCAATTTTAGGAAGCGATACTTCCATAATTTACATGGAAATTACCAAAACTACCGACATAATTTATTCCATGAACTGAATAAACCACATTAATCAGCATTCTAAACAATTGCTTATGATATTGATCCTCAGTTATTTTGTCAGAAATATCTCACGATTAGACGTTTTAGTTTTTTGTTGAAGTCTAGTACTAACCATGTGACTGTCATTATTTGTAGTTGGTTTTAAGACCTATAAAATGTGAAGTAATTTATTCATCTGTGAAAAAAACAGATAATCTTCGTCTTTCATTGATTTTTTACAAGCTTGTTTTTAATTAATGTTCAGCACTCAAAGACAGTCAGTAAACATTTGAATACTGTTTATAGTTTTTCAAATTATTAGCAAAAAACAAAAAGGGAAAAGGGGGTGTGTGGAGATTATAGTAATTCAATAGTCAAATTCATGAGTCAATTAAAGCTAGGCTAGGTTTTTCATGGTGGTCTCATGAATTCAACTATTAAAAATGGGGAAAGTTTAGTGAAAATCAAACACAATCTAGTTAACTTTAATTTATAATAATTTAATATTTCAATTTGCTGTTGTTAGGCTTTTAAGAGAAATGATTACTGGATGCTTTAGTGTATTTTATTTGGAACCTCATTTTAGACATTGAAATGATATTTTATCAAGAATTTAAACTTTTATCTTTCTATTATGTGCTTCTGGAATAAAGATGGCTAAAGATTAATAAATGGACTATCCATAATTTACTCTCTCTTCATTTCATTGATTTACAGTAATCTACTAAAGTAAACATTAACATTTGGGCTATTAAAATACATATTTTAAATTTTTGGACTTATTAGTTATTTCATATATCATTTGATAGACAGTTTAGTTCATACCCAATCCTAATCCCTGTTAATTTTGTATACTATTAGCATAAGTAGGGTTTGGGGATTCATTCAGTATATGCATATGCGAGTTACTTTATTTAAAGATTAAGCCCAACTTATCGTTTATCGCCTTCTTAATGAGATACTATGTGGGTTTCCTGTGATCTGTCCAATTTTTGTATCTTAAGCAAGAAAAGAATAGTTTTGTGTATGAGGTTTTCTTTTAGATGATAATATTTGCGAGATATTTACAATCGAATACATAGATATTTCACGAACAACAGTCTATAATATATAGAAATGCGTTGAGTTGTGATATAAATAAAATTTATATGAAAGCCAAGGGACCGTTAAAGATAGTAAAGTGAAAAAAAAACATATGGAAGGGAGAGTCAGGAGATAGTTGTATACATGCTGAGTATAAGGAAGAGACAACTATTTGTTAAAAACAACTTACAAAATTAGAATAGAGGGCTATAAGCTTGGTAGAATAGGCCTAATTTGATAAATTATCAAGAAATCTACTGCAGATACATTTCTTATTCAACTTCTTTTAAATCCAGTTACTTTGACGCTGGCTAGTTGTAGATGACAATTCATGTGGAGACAGGTGATCAGAATTGATTAAACATTCAATAATAGAACTGATGACTGCTATGTAATTACCTTTAGAGAGCCGTAAAAAGTAGTGCTCAGGTATAAGTCTACAAAAGGTGCACGACAAACATAATATGATCCGCGAGAGTAAATAAACCAGCAGATTCTCATTGAAGTGGCTCGACGCAGGGGTTTATCCTTGACACATCTTCAAACCAGTTACCTACCAAAAAATATAATTCGTAGGTCATATAAAAATATTCTTATCAGAGGACTCGATTATCGTATTTTCAAGGTTTCGGCTGCCGTATTCCCTTCGTAAACAGTGTTAGTATATAATTTCTTCCAAATAATAGTAGGAGTTATTTCCATTCGACTTTTTGTTTGAAGACTGTCAGTAAACTTGAAAGCGAATCCATTGTCCATAAATGTCTGTATTATTTTATTCACTTCGTCATCAAGTATGTTTTGATAACATTGTCAATGACTCAAAATCCTTTCATTTTATTATAGCTTACTTTGTAGGAAACAACTATAAATACGGTTGTAGAGCTTCAGTAAAGAACATCGTCTAGAAGATTTCCTGCGTTGAACTGTCATTCTTTTTGCATCTGCTGGTAATTACATAAGAACAATTAAATAAAAATTTACGCCCATAAAAGCTTTGGCGAATATATCTCACTTCAACAGAAAAACTTGTACAATTTTTTATTTGAGAAGGGGGCTATATGTCAAGAAGTATAACATATTTACTTCTGTAGTGTCTCTCCAGTAAGTTCAATAATATCCTATTGACGTATCCTGTGGTCAACAATAGGGACAAATGCCTTCAAAATGTTAACCTCAGATTTTCTGTTAAATTTCTCTTGAGTTTTCCAGCTAATAATGGTGGTCGTTACGGTTTTCTATTACTGATCTTTACGTGACTTTGACGAAGATACGTAGATGCGTACAAACTCTATAGTGAGTAAACATTTTCCCCAAACTCTTGTAACCAGATTGATCGAAGGTTTCCGAAGAACCACCATACAGTTTATATATTTTATCAGAATTTACAATAATAACATTTCTATGTGATGAATAAAACTTTGCTATAAGCTAACAGTTAATGAAATAGTAAAATAAGAAGACAGGCACAAGTTTAACGAATAAATTGGACTGTAATCTGGAAACACTAGTGGAATCCGACAAAATTGTACGTTATGTGTACCTGGAAACTGTTGATATGGGCATACATGAATGAAACTTATAAATGATAGTTATTTGATTTCCTCTTCGAAGAATTTAGTGATAATGCTGCAGACACTCATTTTATGCTTTAATTCTAATCTGAAACACTACACAACTCTCCATATCCAATTCTTAACCAAAAATATTTCTCGTTTGTTGCAACATGTTTCCTTCTATATGACCTGTATCTCTCATCTAAATGGTGAAATCCGCAATTTCATGGGACATGATTTTGGAAAATACTCATAACATAAATGTTACTATTTAAATCCATATTTGGGAATAATAAAGATCCAAGTGCCTTGACGACGTTCAATACATTATATTTACCATGTTAATATATGTATAGTTGCATCTAGGTCATCATTTAAGTATGAGAGATAGTGATGTATCATTGCTGACCATACTCAGTAGTAGTTGTTTTAATCTGCAAACAAATGGTTACAGATAATTCGTACCAAAGATCTTTTATTATTGCTAAAGTTAAGTCACTGTAATACAATTATAGTATGATGTACGGCAAATGAAACGTATGTGAATATATGCCATTAAATAAGGTTTATGTTTGGAGTAGAATCCCTTAATTTTAGTTTCAAATGTATACCTACTTCAGTACATCACAAACGTTACATGTGGTAAGTTCTTTTCACAGGAAAAAATTAAAATACTAATTAAATTATTAATCAACAACAATAATATTATATAAACTGAAATAATCATATATATATATATATATATATATATATATCACTATGCCTTAGTTTCACCGCAGAAGTTCTGTTTTTATTTTTTATTGTATACATCTTAGTTTAAAAAAACTTAAAATTATTAGGATGAAATAAACTGTATTGAGCAAAAGTTCCAAAACCTTTGTGTCGCCTAACAAAATTTCATTTTACAGAACAGTTGGTTCATTTGAAAATTTATATTAGTAATTTATTTCTCTCTGTCTAATTATCTTGTATTGAAATGATGTTTCCAGAACCTAATTAATCAACTCAATTTATTGAGGATGTAGTCTGTTATTCACTAATAATGTGGACATATAAAGCTTCATTTATTGTGAAGACATAATGGCTGAAAGTTTAATGCTACAGTTTTATAAACGTAGATTTCATTACTAAGTTAATGGATATGTTTATTTTATAAATTTAATACATTGGCAATTAAAAGTTTGGTAAATAAACATAATTAATTTCGTTAAAGCAACATTTATCCGAACTATTTTGCTTGTATCAGTCATAATAATGTGAAACCCCTACTAAGTAGTTTAATAAGATAAAAGTAACCCAATTTTCTTAAAAATCTGATTAACAATTATGTTCCAGTTCATAACAATAAGGTTTAATTCTCCAGTAGGAATGCTTACTGAGTGATGTCCAAACAACTTAAAATGATAAATTATTTAAGGTTTATCTCTTTTAAAATCTTCGAAGATTAAAATTAATAACTTGTATGAACTTTTGATGGATGACCTTTTTAAGACAGTGCTCTTTGAAACATTATTTTCGGAAAAAATATTATTATTGCAACACTACTTCTATTTCAATGGGTAAACATTCCCTAAAAAGTTGTTCTGTGAATTATTCATAGCTATAAAGCTTTAAAAAATGAGTACAACAGATGTTTTAAAAAATGATTAAATAAATTCGTTCTTTAACTTACTTTCCCGATAACTATACGTTCATAAATTTCTATTGGTTCGTCTGCAAAAAACGGTGGATGACCAGCGACCATTTCATAAATTAATACACCAGTTGCCCACCAGTCGACAGCTTTTGTATAACCCTATAAATAATAATATGAATAAAACCATACTTATTTCTCAATGCATTAAAATTAATTGAAAAAAAACATTTTGAACTTAATAGCTATAACAAGTGTATTGCTGATAAAACGAAATTTGAATTTCTTAGGATCTTCAACTTTTTTACTAACATTTAAGCATGGTATTATGAACACATAAATGTCATCAGTCATTTTAATGAAATGTCTTGGATAATGAAACGTAAAAAATAAGAGTTAATTATTAAATAAACAGACAATATTATATATATACCACGTTTCTAAAGCGTTTGATTATAAAGTGAATCGTGTATTGGAATATATCTTCTTAGTTTATGAGAAATCCATAATTCATTTAATCCAATAAAATGTTTAGAATTACTATACTTGTCATTATTTTTAAGCGATAAATAAAATGAATAAACTGAAATTGTAAATACGACAAGTAGATAGACCATATGATGGCAACATCCGTAGCATCAGAACAGATGACTTTGATTCACCGGGCAAGTTAAATAGATTTATATATTAACTGCATTCGACAAGCTGCTCACATAAAAAGACCCACCAAAATGAAACTTCATTTATATTTACAATGCTTTTGTGATGTGATAAATATACATTTGGGAAAATTAGAAAAATAGTTAATTGAGCCACAATACTTAATCCAGTAGACTGTGTCCACTTGAAATATTCTATACCACAAGAGTGATATTTTTTAAGAATTAAAACGAAGTTGTAATGATTTCATACGCCAACACTATGCTGATCAGTTAAGAGTAGTCTGAAAAGTTAAATATTTCATAAAGAAATCTCATCAGAGTTAGGAAGTATGAATCCCTTTAGCACTAATCTGTCCTTCACCGTTTTATTACCTAATGTATAATGTAGGTAATCTATCATGTATCAGTTTAAAACTAATAAAAATAAGGGTTCTTATCGATCATTTAACTTGATAGATTTAGTGCTATTTGGTGAATCCAGTGAAAATAGTATGTGATGTTTGCCTTTTTTCCATTTAAATTTCTCGAATTATTTAACACTGAACAGTGTCGAATTTCTACTTCTGAATCGGTTATTGAATATTCGTGTTTGCGTTGTAAACCGATTTGTATTCCCTTGCCTATATATCTGATACCCTCATGCTTTCTTGTATTGGGTTGAAATACCGAATCAATATCCTCTGATTTCTAATAGCTGATCACGTTCAATCAACCTATGATGAAAATCAATGTAACAAACTTATTCATCAGACTAACTTGTCACGGTGAGTACATGTTTATAATAATTTGATTAGTCTAATTGCAATATTTATTATCTTTAAGTTCTCTAATTTTCTCATTTCCATTGTTATAAGCTCTGCTTAAGTTTCCACTTTTTTGTTTTTTTCTGGTTTTAACTGTGCTAGTAAGGGATGTCTGATTTCTTCGCCACATCAACTGATATTATCATTACCATTAATATAGTCATCAATGATAACATTTCAGAATCTTGTTTTCAATATGTTTAGTTGAAACACTACTAATTATTATTACAATGTGGTAAAATGAACGAAGTTACATTATCAAGTAGCTTCAAATCATATGTCCGAAAACTAGTGTTTGTCTTGATTTCGTAATGCGTAAGCCCATACACTACTAATGTCCTTTAATTGTGGGCGTTTTTATTATCGTAGTTGAGACTAGTTTTTAAAAAATCTCTCATTGGATATAGTTATAGGAATAAATAAATCATTAGAAAGTAAACAGTTCTGTCGATAATTTGCTGTTTACTACTCAACAGATTCATGATATTTTGTAAATCTCCAAAATATCTATTCAAAAAATATTATTAACTATTTATAACTCTTAGTTTACCGAAAGCAAAATAAACGACGCTAATTAATAGAAAGAATTCTTTTCATGTTTCTAACTATGAAGAAAATGAAAGTGATCAGAAACAAAAACATGAACAGTAAATGAATATAAAACTAACAATAAACTTTTTTATAAATTTTACTCATCAAGAACGTCATATGATGTAAATGAAATTAAAATTGTGTCAAAGCTAGTTTGTTATTTTTGCACTTGTGGTGCTTTTTTGGTGATTAGCTTGATTTCGTTATTTTAACCAACATTCATGGTTGAATTTAAGCTAGCAGTACATCATTAATTAGTGAATTATTTTCCCTAGTAGAAAAGAAAACCGTAACATTTCTCGTGTTATCGAGTAATGTTAAAAAGAGAGTCTAGGTCCCATAATCATTACTTTAATAGGTTGAAATCTTTGGACTTTGATTTTGATTTATCACTTAAAGGTTGTTTTAAGTCCTGCAGTTCCTCTTAAGACCTGCATTTTATCAGCCTCTTTAAGGATATGTGCATCCTAAGCAAATAACGGGTTCAATTTTGAAAACGAAAGACTGTGTACAAGACCTGACTTGTACATCAACACGTTTGTAAAAGCAACTAGTCTCGAACAGAATGAAACACTCGTTGTAGATTGCATTGGTAGCCGCTATCTAAAGCTGAGTAAACTGAATATAACTTAATTGCGATATCAAGTAACTTCGCTCAGGATAAGCATATGAAAAAGAAGTCAAGTGAATAGAATCCTTAGCACCAACTGTAAGATTCCAAAAGACTTTTAAAGAAAGCTCAATAGTTCAAAAAAGTCAGAAACCTAGAAGGTATGACAATATCATATACATTATTGTTACATCTGCTTCGAGAGTTATATTCAATAATTTGTAAAAGCCAATAAAATTGTGATGATATAAAATTTGATAAAATCACTCCGTTCTATCTAGATATGCAATTTTTATTCAAAAATGAAATGCAAAAACACTAATTTAATGTTAACTGGCACTGCACACTGTAAACAGTAATATGATAAGTATTCATTAACAAACATTGATTCTCCTTGTTAAGTAAACGTAAGTTGTTTTAAACATTTGATTTTGAGTTGATTTATTCAACACAGTTGATGAATACAGAAGTATATTTCGAAATATACACCTCTTGTTCATCGCCTCAAGACAACAACAGTTGTTTCACTGGAACGAGATATAAGCTACGTATGATATGCAAATTTTAAAAATAATATGCTGGTAACTAATTTTTTTTAAATAATGAATCATCTATGTTCACGTATATGCTAACTCTCAATATAATCTCGGATATAATATATGAAATTAGAAGCTTGGTATTAGCAACATTTCTAAACCTGGAAAATTAATCTTGTCGATGATGAAGACAAAATCACATCACGCATAAAATGTGTAACTACGTACTATATTTTTCCTTCTTAATACAATACAACTTTTAACAAAATATTTCTTTTAACTAGTCCACACTTTAATCATTAGTTCTTGTTTTCAATCATAATTGGTACATAAAATTTGCTTTCCTTCTTATAAATATATTTTCATTTTTTTGTTTATGAAGCTAACTCTGTGAAGTCTTTATCGAAGTATGAAATTATTTTGTTTTTTTTGCTAAGACTAAAATTTACACATAACAATATTAGAAAACAACTACTCTAAAACACTAGCAACAATGGCTATTAGAAATCTTTGTTTATTGTGTAGGTAAACATAATTGAATTTCTCGAAAACAATTCACAGAATATGTTGCAGAAAAAAATGATCAGATAATTAGATTTCACGGCAAATTTAAATCACATAAAAATAATTTGACGTGTACATGTTTATTATCAGTATACTTGGAAATTTACATGAACAAATTATATTTCTATATTTCCAAGGGCCTGTTTTGTATACTTAGAATTTATCTCTATCTGCTACAGGATTAAAAAAAGGTTAGAGAATATTCTTGTCCAGGTAAGAAGTATAAAACTACGATTACGTCTGCTGTTGGATATATTGATTAAAGTCAAGGTTATCGTTATTAGATAACTTAATTTAGTCGTTTCATTAGATTCCCGTACTTGCACTTCACACACATGTCTAGAAAAATATTGACACAAAAATACTCTTATTAATTACTAAGCGTTATCTGACAAATGACGCGAAGAAAGATAATAAATTGTAACACTGTACGGAAACCATTAGTAGGTTGTCAAGACCTAATATAAATAAAAAAGCAAGTAAATATGACATACATTAGAGCAAACCAAAATACTACATTAACTTTGAATTATGACAGAAATCAGCTGCTTGAAAATGTATTATCTTTTACAAAAGAGAGTCAGAGAAGCAAACAACCTTTTTTCTCATTACTGTTATCAGGAAGTAAATGAGAATTTAGAAAGGTTTAGAATGTATTCACAAATATCCCAATACATAACCAGTGTGAGAATGGTATGTGATTGTAAATAAATTATTTCTGGGACTATTTAACTAAAAAAGTACTTTTAACATTCGGCTTTGTAGAGCTAAGTACACAGGTACACCTTTATCTTATACTTAACGCAATGTAACATGAGAAACGAATAGCCTATGCAAATCTACCGATGAAACATAAAAGAATATAATTTAAATGTTGTAACGACGATGGTGTCTGCTTTCGAGAAGCTCGTAAGTAGCTTAATTTTTAACTATTGAATATACACGAATAAATACAGTAGAAAGATGAAAAGTATACTAGTTAGTAACAAAATCTAAACGAAAAATACGTAAGATCTTTTGGCCAGACATTTTTAGCAACAACCTGCTGTGGAGAGAACAAACCAGATCCCAGTGGGAAAGAAATCAGGAAGAAGCGCTGGAAGTGGATAGGACACATATTGAGGAAAGCACTCGACTAAGTTACGTGACAAGCCCTCACCTGGAATCCTCAAGGCCGAAGGAGAAGAGGAAGACCAAAGAGCACAATACGTCAAGAAATGGAAACAGACATGCGAAGGATGAGCTACAATTGGATAGAACTAAAAACGAAGGCCGAGGACAGAGTGAGTCGGAGAATGCTGGTGGGAGTCTTATGCTCCATTGGGATTAACAGGCGTAAGTAAGTAAGCAGCAAGGAAATCAGTCTGTTCAGAAAACGGTTATTGATGGGTTAAAA